AGGGGGTGACCTTAGAATCCATATTCTCTATTTGATTGTGAGTAGATGAAGTGTTCATATTGTGAAATCAACAAAAGAGAAGTACAGACTAACCTGAGAAGAAGACGAAGCTACAAAACACAGTGATGACAGAAACGAACTTTGAAGAGCTTTTTCGTCAGAATATCAATAGCTAATGCCAAACCGCTTCTTACACTTCTGAGCAACCATGCAAATTCAATTCCTTTTTAATTAGGGACCGTTGTTCAATTTAGGAGGGAATTGGGAGTAAAGTGTGGATGGAAAAATCCCCACACCAATAAAAATCAGCCACGTCATTAAATGAGTTATCACCCCTATACCCATTAGCTTTCTAAAGCCCAATTCTGATCAAGCATAGTAGAGCCATCATCAGCCCAAAAGTATTAATGTCAACTTCTCGACCCACCATAAGACCAATCAAATCCACTTTCTGCCCAATATGCATTATGATCCAAATACAATTTAGATTAATCAATCACAGCACTGCAAATGATCCTATATAGAAGGAAACTCTGCATAGGAAGAATTTTATATGGAAGGAGTTACACAAGGAAAGAACTTTATATAGAAGAAACTCTAGATGAAATAAATTATATATGAGGAAAACATGGAGGACAAGTATAGCGAATCTTACTATAATTCTGCCTTAATTTGTATATAAATTGAGGCATAGACCCTAATAAAGATCAAAGAATATTACAGACTCTTTTCTGAATTATTTTATTGAGTGAATTGTTTTTTTATTTGAGTGAATTGCTTTTATTCTTTGACCTTTTTAAAATTAATGATTTTTTACACCTACATAGTGGTTGTGGTTGTGATTGTGGTAATTTAAATGAGGTAAGCCAAATCTCTCGTGATCATTCCAACAAACTATTAATTTGATTGAGGCATTGTTGCAAATTGGTACAAAGTTAGTGGAGTCTGAGGTTGCGTGGCAATGGTGGAGTGAGTGATGGTGGTGGTGGAGTGATGTTTGAGTGAGCAGTAATTGCCGTGGAATCGATAGAAAGGAGTACTAAATTTATTTATTTATTTATTTATTTATTTTTTAATGAGATGTCTAACTTTGTAATTTTATTTTAATAATATTTAACGATAAAAAAGACAAATTAACTAAATTTGTTGGATTAAATCCTTGGACTAAAATTAAAAATAAGCATTTTTCTCTCTCTACTCAGCAGGAGCAGTTCTATGAATTGCACTGCTGAATTTATCCAATAATCACACCAAAAATGGGAATATAGTCAAATTTTGTCAGTCTTGTAATTAAGCTTGGGTCAAGGGTAATAAATTTGGAATGTCACTTTCAAGTATTACCTTCTTGGTCGATGATAATCTTGTTTCACCCCAAAAAAATTAAAAAATTAAAAAAAATACCTAATTGCTCTTATCAGATTTCAAAAGGCCATTGACTTTAGCGTGTTCGGATAATCCATTCGTTAGAAAATTGAGTGGATAGAATTTTGACATCTTATCATTGCCTCTTTAGACAAGAAATATAGAGGCATGCGAGATGTGTCTACTAAAAAATGGTGTTTGTCGATGTGAATTCAAAGGCACAAAAGATCACATCATCCACTTATTAAAATGGTGATATTGAATGCTTTAAATTTTTATCACATTAATAAAATAAATTTTTTAATAAAAATCACCATTTTTTAATTTTATTGTTATTTTTTCTTAACAATGAACCATTCTAATGAGGCGCTTTCTGAATAGACCACTAATATTTACTATCATCATTAAATTAATTTTCAAATTCGTCATCTCAAAATTTTCTTAGGAGCAATTCAACAAACTCCTGACAGATTAAAATAAGCACATCTAAGACTCCATTTGTTATGATGTAAAAAAAATTAATTCAACAAACTCCTGACAGATTAAAATAAGCACATATAAGACTCCATTTGATTAATTTTTTTTTTTTTTTTTCTGATGTTTGATTGTCGTAAAATATTTAAGAAGAAAAAAATATTAAAATATCACAAAAATAATTTATCCATCAATTTTTGTCAAATTATTTTATACATTCTGCCCAATAAATTTGGCATCAACCTCAACCTAGACCTTTGTTAAGCACCAAAAAAATAAAAAATAAAATAAAATAAATATATATTTTAGAGAGAATTTTTTAATTTTTTAATTTTTTAAATTTAAGCTGAAACAAATGGAGGCTTAATATTTAACATTCTTTATAGAAGGATTAAATTTTACATTTGCAAAACTATGGGCAAGGGCCAACTTAATTTTGGGCCGGCTCATTTACATTGTTGGGTTCGACCAGCAAATTTGGTCATGGTATTAAGTAGATGTAACATTTTGGAAGGTAATCATTGGGCTCTGATGATGAATGGGCCACTTGGCCTAGTCAATCAATGATTCTCACTATAAAAAGCTTCCAAGTTCAAAACTGGCTTTGGAGGTTTGTAAATTAAATGAAAGCCCAATTTAATAACCCAGGCCCAATGCTGTCTACACTGTTCTTAAATTGTCACTCAAAGCAAACCACTACCCCATCAAAGACCTTTTTTTACCACTAAATTAAGAAGGGATTATTATTTGGTCCAAATATATACACATATTGCAACATTATTATTCAAAATTCATACATATAATCCTCTCAAATCAATTCATGCATGTAATTGAAACTTAAATTTTAATTTTAAATTACATTTTCAATCCAAATGGAGCCTCTCATGCATTATCGTTGCTCCTCATCAATGGATGATGTGGATTTGAAAATATTGATTATTTCCTCTGTCTAAAAAAAAAATGTCATATTTTTCTTTTTGGTCTGCCCTAAAATAATTGTTACTTTTTCAAATAATATATTTTACACCTTTTCATATATGTCATTGAAGTTTAAAATTTTAAATTTGAATATTCAAAATTTAGAAGGGCAAATTAGTAACTTTTCAGGGAGACAAAAGGGAGACAATATATGTCCCACATGTTTCCTTAAAAATTCATACTTCTTAAAAACGACATTTAAATTGAGACAGAAGGGGTATTTGTTTTTTTTTTAGTTTTTTTTTTTTCAAAAAATTTGTAGGTCACATTAATTTGACTTTAAAATTCACCTCATTAGAAAGAATCGAGAGTAGTCAAGAAATGAACCTTTATAATAGAAAATTATACCAGTTGAGATTCTTGGAATGCCATGGTAGGCTCTCACTATCAATGATATTGGCCTCATATATATGGAAGGTGTGACTCATCACTTTCGGTGAATTTGGATAAATGGGCCTAACCTTCTGATCACAAGTCCATAAAAAACACACACTATTTATGAGAGTGTCCTCTCACAGGCTCAGCTGTCCTTGTTTCTTAAAAGAACCACACACACACACACACACACACGTACACGACAAATAAATTCACCAATCTTCAACATATGGGGAATCATCCTCTGAGGTCCCCACACAGCTTGTTCTGTTACATAACATTTTCATTTGCAATCACTAGTTTACTACTACTACTAACATTTTTTTTTAGCTCTTTTTCACGTACCATATATGTTGTCCTCGCGAACCATAACCACTCGTTTCACACTCTAAACATTGTGGTGTACTTTATGTGGTCACGTGGATCAAATTAATCAGATTTTTTAGTTTCATTTTTCAGGTAAAATATATTTTAATTTTAATTTTTTTAGTGTGAGGTTAAGATTGAGATTAATATTGAAGTTAATGTTTCTAATAACATATTAATAATATTTTATTAGAAACATTTCTTCTCAGAGGAATTATTGATTGATGTAATGATAAAAGTTTAAATTGACAAAAAAAAAAAAAAAAAAAAAAGAAAGAAAAAAAAAAAGAAAAAACATAAATCTAGTCTATGCACCAAGTTTTCCTCTCTAATTTTATGCAATCAAACAAAACTATATGTAATTAATACAATAAATAGATTTACGTGGTAGGATCCATTCTTATACCCTGAATTAAATGGGACTAACAATGAAAATAACCTGTGTAACTGGGACCATCACTACTAGGGATGTTTTTGTTTTTGTCCATGAGATTGAAAGACAGCCAGCTACTTCATTCATTCGATTTCCAGCCCAGATTCAGGGCATCGGAGGATTGGATTCCAGATTTTAACAGCTCACTCTTATATGCTTACAGCTTGAAAGGAAAAGGGTAGTTTGGCAACTATTTTCAGTATGTGTATGTGTATGTGTATGCGTGTGTGTGTGTGTATATATATATGTGTATGTCATTTGCAAGAGATAAGCCAAAATACTTTTGTTTCCGACCGGCATGACCAGCCCAATTTAATGTAGGCCCATCCATCACACATGACTACTTTTCCACTAGCTTTGTGCCATAAACATTATGAGGAGACTTCGTAACACAAAGGGAACTCATGATGACTCAATTCCATCAGCTAGCCAGTCAAGCACTCATTATTGGACCAAAACGTTTTATGTCATCGTTTTTATGACAATAATCTCACTTTAATGTTATCATATTTTTTTCTTACCAACTTTGTCGATACTTTTTGATATATATACCAACTTTGTTGATAAATTTCTTAAACATTACCCTCTATGAGTTATATCGCTCATGGTGCAATGAATGAAGTACATATCAATATCCTTCAAAATTTGTGGATGTTATTTCACCATTCATTATTATTATGATTATTTTTTATTTTTTATTATTTAATTTGCGCCAAACAATTCTGGTAATGCTCTTACCGAAACTCGAAGATAAAATAAATGTGGGATGAATTTTGTAATTGATTTTCAAAATTGGTAAGAATTATTTTATAATTTTTACATTGCACTACCTTTATGCTCATGAGAAGTAACTGATCGATATATAAATTATATCTACATCTAGGAATGTTGATAATAGCTAGATTCCCCAGCAAACTTATGTAAAACTGTACAAAGTTTATAGTCGAAATATCTAATCCATATTAATACAAAAAAAAAAAAAAAAAAAAAAAAAAAAATGGTACCACAGCAATGAGAAAATTCCCCAAAACATGTTTAATATTTATAGATTGTGACATTCAATAAGAACAATTGACTGAAATTTGCTAAACAAACAGCAAGAAATGAGTACATGATGCCATTGTTTCTAATTACTGTTACTTTCTAAGCGATATATATATTTTTGACTCAAGGCTTTTGATTACCCTAGCTTCTCTATTTGTTCTGATTGTTTAGTGGTGGTGGTGGAGGCTGCACTTGCATTGGCATTGGCACCGCCCTGGACTCTCCTCCTCTCACCGGAGCAACACCGTCTGCAGTCAAAACCACCGGAAAGTCTGCCCCATCGGCCTGCTCTCTGAACTTGTAGTATATATCACTTTTGTAAAATTTTCTTGTTCTAATAACCAAAATAAATGATACTAGACATCCAAACAATGTGGCCGCAGTCATTATAAGAAAGGAAAGCTTGTAACACTCCACGCCGGTGCACGTCAAGTCGTCCCCGGCTCGCCTTGTGACACCCTTAGCTGCCAATTGCTTCAAAGCCTCTTTGTCATAGAGATGACCAGCCACTTTGACACTGAGTATATATGATCCAACAGGGCTTGCACCGGCCCCGAAATTGTACAACGTTGCGTAGTACTTGAGGCCGAATAATTCCGATATGATTGCGTAAATCAACGGCCATTGAGCTCCAAAGCAAAACCCTATAATGACAGAGGAGAAATAGAGAGAATTGGGCACGCCGAAGGCGATGAGAAGATGGCCAACACATGAGAGAAGAAGCACAAATGTGAGCATTAGGGGACGCGGGAACTTATACTTTGCTAGGAGGATCTCGGAGGCGAATCCGGACACGACTCGGCCGAGATAGTTCCATATGCTCACTAGGGATATGAATGTGGTGGTGCTAGTGGTTGGATAGCCTAATGACTTACCAATCTGACCCAAGTTGTCTATGGCTGTCAATGTGCCCCCAACTCCACATGCTGTTGCAACAAATAGAATTATCATGTCCACGCTAAAAAGTGCTTGCAATATGGTATAGTCCTCTCCTCTGTCCGGTGGCCGGAAAATGTTGGCCACGCATGACACATGCTTTTCCGGTGGTGCCACCACCGGTGGTGGCGCCACTAATTCAACAGGAGGTGGATTTTCACTCACTACTTTGATAATTTGAGGAGAATCATTCAACCCTTTTTTCTTGTGCGTCCAAAGAGTGAGTTCTTCTCTTATGACAATAAAAAGAGGAGCAAAGAGTAGTATAAGTACAACTGAAGCACTTCCGTAAAACTCAACCCTAGAAAAGTTAAACCTATGTTGGATGATGATTATAACCATGAGAAAGCCGGCGAGGCCGAGCGATATATAGAGAAGATTAAAGAAAATCTTGAGCTCATTTTGTGATCGGACAACCTTCATGATCCTAATTGTTCGAAGAAAAACGATTGACACAACAGCAGGTAACCAAGCAATGAATAAGATTAGGGACTTGGAATCGTGACCATAAAGTGCACGGTATAGTTGTGTGATAATTGCACCACTTAGGCCAACAAAGCCCTTCAAAAGTCCCAAAACAATGCCTCTACTTTCTGGGAAGTTCTTCACACAAGTGACTAAAGCTCCTGTATTGGCAAAGGCTTGAGAATTTGCACCCATACATATATACACACACATTTGCCAGATGTGGGGTTTGGCCGTGTGGCCGGTGACGGCGAGCCATATCATGAAGTAGCCGAAGAAGTTCATGGCGGCGCCGATGGAGAGAACCACCCACGCCGGCGTGACCTCGTTGATGAGCCCCGATAGGACGCCGACGTTGCCGCCTAAGTCCTTGAAGAAGCTGAGCAAGTTTAGGGTTGTTTGGTCGTAAGCCAGGGCTGATTTGATGTCGCCGGAGTAGAGGCCGAACATGTAGGTTGCTCCAGAAGCGGACATGATGAGGAGTGAAGCAAAGACCAAGAACCACCGGCTGGTGATCAGGTGGAGGCTGAAGCTACTCATCTGTCTCCAACCACCACCACCACCGCCACCAGTGAGCTCAGCCACCGCCATGGTTTAGTTGGTGATTTGTGTTTGGATTGATAAATGATGGAGGAGTCCAGAAGGGTGAGTGTGTATAGATATATTATACTGTATATGTTTAGATATATGAGAGTGATACAATTAAATACTGTGAAGTAAGAAGTTTCAAACTAACTTCGCAGTTGACAACTTGACTTGATTTACTAAGTGGCATGAAGATGACGGTGATGTTATGTTTCAAAAGCAGAAATGGGATTGAAATCTTGGAAAATTTGTAAAAAAGCAGTGCCCCAACCTGAAGGGAAATATGAGAGTGATGGGACCTACCATAATAATTTGGGTCCCACAAGTGCCTAATTTTCCGAAGAATAGAATCGGGTAGTACCTGTCGTGCAAGCGCGAGGTGCACCCAAACAAACCCAATACCTTATCCTCTTCTAGAAGACTTTTAATGTCACGTCAATCGATAACTCATTAAAACAAAAAAATTCACTTAATGTTGGACTCCGGTCTCATAAGAACATGATCGGTGAATTATCAAATCACGTGACTGTTTTTAAACCTTTTAAATTTAATTTCACTTCACGAAAACAGAGGAGAGATCACGCGTCCCACTAGAGGGGATTCAAATCCTTGTTTCGGTTGACACTCTGCCCTAGTTTATACAAAAGTGAATTTTTTATTCTAAAAATAGCAAGCAGATAAATTAACAAATAGGTATTGATGATATATGTATAATACATATAAGGACGAATTACAACCAAAAAAAAAAAAAAAAACTTCTGAAGTTTCAATTGTTAAAAAAAAAAAAAAAAAAAACCTCATATAAATTGTTTAAGGAGTTATGTATTAAACAAAAATACCCTTTAAACATTATACTTTCCCGACCTTATCGTTTTAACTGATATTTGTTTAAGGAGTTATGTATTAGACAAAAATACTCCTTAAACATTATACTGTTCCGATCTTATCCTCAGCCGTCCAAAGATCCACGGTTGAAGCTCTGTTTTTTGGTCTTCTTCCTCCACTGCATCGTTGATGTCGGTGGCCACCAAAACCCAAACCCAAAATCTCAATTCAAAACCCAAAATCAAACAACAGATTATTCCTCATCCCCTAGGTAATAAAATCTCTCTTTACTCCTTTCCTCCTCTCTCTCTCCCTCTCTCTCAAATTTCGAGTTTCGTCTGCAAAAAGCTCACTTTGAAATTTAGATACATCATTTCCGTAATTCAAAATGTCGACAATGAAATAAAGCACAAAGAAACGAAGTTCCGAATCAGAGACTCTAAAACCTGAGAAGCGAAAGCGAGTCGTCATTGAAGACGATTTTGCTATTGAGTTACGAGCCGAGCCGGTGATGGATCTGAGCCGTCTGTACCGGATCGTGATTTGTCACCGAGCCGTTGGTTTCATAGAGGCTTGAGGAGGCCCCGGATGACATGGGCCAGGTCCGACTCGCAAAACACAACCTTCAGTCCGAACAGCTGGGTCAGCCCATAGAAAGACACTGCCATATGGGCCGAGCGGGAGTAAGCCCATCAAGGGTGACTAGGGCTCACAGAGGAATAGGCCCAGGTCCAGCAATCAGAAAATATCTTGCAAATATCTTGTAAATATCTTGTAAGGATCTATAAATAGGAGTTGGAATGAAGAGGAGAGGGATCTTTTCGGGTTGAGGTGTAAGAATTCTAGAGAGAGAAAGAATAGTAGGAGTTTCTTGCATCTTCAATTGGCGCCGTCTGTGGGAATCGCATGAAAGTTTGGTTGATCAATGAGGAGTATCGAATGGATTCAAACCAATTCGGTTGATCGAGACTCGATCTTGGGGATTTGAATCCAGATCTGAGCGATTGTGACCTACTCTGGAGGAATTACAATTCTTGAAGCTTTGGCAGGAGTGACTTTGGATCTACGCAACCACGAGTTGTTCGATTGTGGCAGGATCTGACGGATTTAGAGTTCAGACAATTCAGATCTCGTAAACAGTGAGCATAATTCGGAGAATTAGAAGCCAGATCTAAAAATTCCTACTCACGAAGCTCAGATCTACTCGCGAACTTGAGATTAATGCCTTTACTCCGTTCGGGAATAATGATAGGTGAAAGCTCCAATCCGATGGAGGCTGTCCAGCAAACAAAGCTTGAAGAGTTGATGAACTTGATTGAAGCTCTCAGAAAAGAAAATGCAGAATTGAAAGCTGGACTGCAGCATCGGCAGATACCTGCGGTTTCGCATCCACTTCCGGTCGGAGAAGGAGGTGTTCCATCTAATATCGCGCATCAAGGCGATCAGGACGAGAACAATCAGTCAGCTCACCACCGTGATGAAAGGATGATGGACAACTTGCCGCCAAATGTTCGTCGAGTTGAAGATCACGAAGGATCGACTCACGTTGATCCGCAGCGGGAAAGGTTTGACCGGGAGGAAGTGATGGAGGTTGATCGCCGTCGAGTAGCGTCGCCTTGGCAAAGAGAGTTCATAGAGGAACGGTCGTTCGATCCGTCTTACCGGCCCTCCATGGTTACTGTCACTCATCACGGTTCGGAGGGCAGAACCGTAACTCACAGAGCTACCGCTGGACTCCAGAGAGAGAATGAAGCTCTCCGATCCGCAGCTCGGACGGTGGATTCACCATTCACCGACGCGATCTTGAATGCGCCGCATCCAAGGAAGTTTGCTATGCCAGTCTTTATTCTGTTTGACGGAACGACCGATCCGATCGATCATGTGTATCATATCCAGTTGAAAATGGCCCTGAATACGGAAAACGACTCTTTAATGTGCAAATGTTTCCCTACAAGCCTGGCCGGACCGGCGCTCAGCTGGTTCAAAAACTTGCCTAGGAGCTCCATTGGCAGTTTCAGAGACCTGTGCGATCGGTTCATAAGCCAGTATTATGGGAACAAACGCCCGCCGAAGGACATCTCGAGCCTATTCACGATGCGGCAGCACAAGGATGAACGTCTCCAGGCCTTTCTTACCAGGTTTAATCTCACTAAGAGTATGGTGATCGAATGCCACCCTTCTACGGCAGTTCAAGCCTTCAAGTTAGCCATGACACGCGGAACTCCCTTTCACACCAGTCTGGTAGTGAACACGCCGGCTACCATGGATGAACTCAATGAGAGAGCCGATGGCTTTGTGCGCCTAGAAGAAGAGGAGGCAGCTAATGCTTGGACAACGTCGCTTGTGTCAACCGAGGAAAAGTCCAAGGCAAAGATCAGGCAGAAGCAGGCTCAGCCGCAGCGTCAGACCACCTGGAAGGCCGAAAAAAGGTCCAGGGAGGAAGAGTTGATTACTCCGCTGAAGGTCTCTCTGGCGAGGCTGTATCAGGAGAACAAAGACAAGTTTCATCCACCACTGCCAATTAGACAACCCCTCGAACAGAGGGATCAAACTAAACATTGTGCTTTTCATTCTGATTTCGGACATCAAACTAACGAATGCAGGAACTTGAGGAGGCAAGTGGAGATGTTGATAGCTAGAGGGGAGTTTGCGAGTTATGTTCAAGGCTCGGCGATGGAGCAGAATCGACCAGTGGAACAAATAAAAAGGAGTCATAAGCAAAGCTCCCACAATTCGCAGCCAGTTCGTATAATCAATGCTATCCATGGTCGACCCGAGCCTAGTGAAGAGTCAGATGAGCTGCTACGGGTGTGCCTGCGGCAGGCGCAGATGAAGAAAAGGGTTGGCAATGTGACCACTCTACACCAGCAGAGCCCATCAATGCAGATAAAGTTCGACTGGACAGACCTGCAGCATGTTCAACTGCCTCATGACGACCCATTGGTAGTCAGTTTGACAGTGGCAGATTGCTTGGTGCGCAGAGTTCTGATCGATCCTGGGAGCAGTGCGAATGTTATGCCGAGGGACACATTTGACAGGCTCGACATTACACCAGAGAGGCTCAAGCCCACCGGAAATCCCTTATTAGGGTTCGATGGGAAGAGGGTGGAACCCGTCGGGATGGTGGAAGTAGAGGTTCAAGCTGCAGAACGAGCTCTTATGGAAACTTTTGTGGTTGTGGAAATTCACCCCTCGTATAATCTCCTGATGGGAAGAGGGTGGATTCACAGAGTCCGAGGTGTACCCTCAACTCTGCATCAGGTCATGAGGTGCCTCGGGCCCGATGGAGATAAAGTAATAGACATTCGGGGGGATCAGGTCGCAGCCAAAGAGTGTTATTCCGTCACACTAAAGCATGCTGGGAAAGGAAAGGCGCCCGTTCGGTCGACAAGCCCCAGATAGCAATTACAGGAACCTCCACTCGAGCAGAATAGGGTGGAGGAGTCAGCCGACTTGACCGAGGAGCCCCTTCTGGATGTGCAGATCGATCAGTCCAGGCCAGAACGAACTACCAGAGTTGGTATAAGACTGACCAGAGAAGAGCAGCAAGAGCTAGTGGATTTCTTGTCCCACAATGTCGACGTATTTGCATGGAGTCACCTCGACATGCCTGGAATTAGTCCTTCCGTATCCTGTCATTCCCTGAATGTCAATCCTAATTTCAAACCAGTGAAACAGAAGCAGCGAAGATTTGCTCCAGAACGTAATCAGATCATAGCGGAAGAAGTCGATAGGCTGCTTGATGCGGGATTTATCAGAGAGGTGCACTACCCTGAGTGGTTGTCCAACGTCGTTGTGGTGCAGAAGAAAAATGGGAAATGGCGAGTATGCATTGATTTCACCAATTTGAACAAAGCCTGTCCGAAGGACAGCTTCCCGTTGCCTAAGATTGATCAAATGGTGGATGCCACCACTGGGTATGAGCGTTTAACCTTTCTGGACGCATATTCAGGTTATAATCAGATTCCTATGGACCCCGCAGATGAAGAAAAAACTTCTTTTGTCACCGAGCGAGGAACATACTGCTACAAAGTTATGCCTTTTGGATTAAAGAATGCGGGAGCAACTTATCAACGACTTGTTAGCAAATTTTTTAAGAATCAAATGGGTAAGACTGTCGAAGCCTATATTGATGATATGGTGGTAAAGAGTAGGAAAAAGGATGATCATCTGAAGCATCTGCAAGAGGTATTTGATGTACTAAAGCGATATGGGATGAGGCTCAATCCGACCAAGTGCTCGTTCGGTGTGAGTTCCGGGCAGTTTTCTGGGACACGTGGTCAACCGCAGGGGCATCGAAGTTAGCCCCGCTCAAGCAGAGGCTTTGATTAAGAATGCCGAGCCAAAGACGATCAGAGAGGTGCAAGCCCTAACAGGACGAATAGCTGCATTAAGTCGATTTATTTCAAAGTTGTCAGACCACTGCAAACCATTCTTTGACACGATTCGGAGCCATGGAAGGCAGGTCTGGGGGGATGAGCAACGACAGGCATTGACTCATTTGAAGCAATATATGCAGAATCCACCAGTCCTGTCAGCCCCAGAACCAGAAGAAAAGTTATTTCTATATCTTAGAGTATCTGGTGTCGCGACGAGTGCCGTTCTGATTCGTTGCAAGGAAGGGGTGCAATACCCGGTATTTTATGTAAGCAAAACACTGATGGAGGCAGAAAAAAGATACTCAAAGGCCGAACGGGTGGTACTTGCACTTGTAAATGCAAAAAAGAAAGTTAAGGCATTATTTTGAATCCCACCCCATAGCTGTTCTAACAACTTTCCCAATCAGAA